ATAAATACATGTTGATCAATTGATTATTTCCGTATTGGACCAGAAGCACCATGAGACTGAGGGCAATATCATCTAATCTGAATGTGTCTCCCGGTGCTCTGCACATTTGCAGTGCATATAATGTCTGATGGACCTTTGAATAACAATTGTCTGTTTCAAGTCATAAGGAAACACAAATGCCCCAGAGACAGCATGCACACACCATCACTAAATCAACTGCTTCATCTCTGGGGTTGTGCTTATGGCTTAAAGTACTATTGTCTTCCCTCCCATTTGTTTCTGACAACAACAGATACTGTCATGTCATTTTCATAGCTCAGCAGAATTGAGTACGACATTAGCACAACTGGAGTGAGTGAGGACATTCAACTGTGGCCACCCCAGAAATCACCCTCAGCAGAACAAGCCCTTGGCCGTGTACCTTCAGAACTACCGCCAAACTTGGCTAAAACTCCTGTCCTACAAGATGGCAGAGCTGTTTATTGCCATAGTCTCTGGACTTCTCCCTGATATGAATTGAGAGGCAACACAGGGTGGTGGCTAAACAGGCAACGTTGGCATCACAAAGACCTGGGTGCAGGTACTCCAAGTGACCCTGGCCACCTGTAAATTGTGTCCGGTAACTTTCTAAGGCTGTCAGTTACAACTTGGGTGCCAGTCTACATCTGTGAAGGAGATACCTACAGTGGGTGTTTTCAGTAGCATGAAATCCTGGGTCTAGATCCGTCCCTTCTCCATATGTGTATGTGTGTACGTATATATGGATGTATGATATACACATATACAAATAGATCTATACATAATACCTAAGAATTTATGCACATATAATGGAATATGCAAGATTGAATCTTGAGCATTTTAACAATTAGAACTGCAGAATGTCAGAACTTAAAGAAGTTTAGTCCAAATCTCTCATTTTGTCAAAGAGGATGTTGAAGCCCAGAGAAGGGGAACAACTTGCCCAAGGTCACACAGCAAGGGGGTGGCGGGTCTGAGACCAGAATCCGGGTGATCTCCTGCCTCCCAGGATGGATTTCTCCCCACTGTAACAGCCTGCCTTCTTTACTTCCTGCATCCCCCAATGTACATGTATTTTTAATTGATATCCCCACATACTTTTTCATTTCAGATTCGTTGTGGCATGGACTTATGCATTTGGGTGGCTTAAATGCACTTTGAGAGACATTTCCTGGCTAAATGACAAATGAGTGTTTCAATCTCATCTCCACCTCCTAGCTCTGGGACAATAACTCCCCTGAGAGCTCCAGAGTGAACAGTACGGTAGGAGACTCTGTGTGAACTTTTGATGTTGGCAGGTCTCTGCACCTGCTGAAAAGATGCATACCCATACGAAAGCAAGCACCCCTCGTTCCCCCTTTGATTTAACTGCATATGTAATTTCCTCCCCCCCCCCCCAGTAATAGGGGGAAAAGAGACAAGCCTTGGTTTCTATGGCAACACATCTAATTGGTGAGATGCAGGTCTCTGTCCAACCATAGGGTGGAGCCAATCTCCCTAAATATGAATCCAAACATTTGAGAAAGGAAGACTCTTTCACAGAGGCCAAGCAAATCCCGGATTTCCAAATTCAAAGCCAGGCACAAACAGAGTCAGCGCTGTCTCAGTGGCAAGGGAGAGAGAGAGAACCTTAAGCTCTCTCCACACAGGCAAGAATTGAATAGGGAGAATAACTGAGCTGTTGCATCATGCTTATCAGTGTTCCTGAGACTAGAATAAGAAGGAAGCAGGTCTATAGGTGAGACGCAGGCTGGGGAATACAATTTCTAACTGTTTAGTAAAATAACTTGCCCTCAAATACGTTAAATGTCCTTCCTTAGACCAGATACTTTGGAGACACCAATGGGAAATCTGAGGACCATTCCATCTGCATTTTTATCAGTTTTGTCGGTGCTATGAAAGTCAGCCATTCCCCCATGGGACTACACTCCCAACAGAAAACAAACGATCAGAGCAGAAAGGGTGGGTTTTCATTTTGCTTAATACATTGTAATTGTATTCTATATGTTTGTGTGTGCACACGTGTGTGTGTGTGTGGGAAAGGGAGGAGGGGAGGGGGAAATGGGGGGGAGAGAGAGAGAGAGAGAAAGAGATAGGGAAAGAGGGAGGGAGGGATGAAGAAGTGAGGGAGAGAGGAAAAGAAAGGGAAGAGAAAAAAGAGGAGAGAGAGAAAGATGAATGTGTCTGTGTTCGATATAATTGTGTCAATGTCATCATTTAAGCATGGAACGGATCAAAAATGTGAAGTAAACTAAAGCTTTGCATCGGTCAGGGTTTTAATTCCCTTAGGGAGCAGATTTGGAGGAATGTTCCTTGGCCGTAATTTTTTCTTTCTTTTCTTCCGCTTGTGCTCCCCACTCCCATCACATTCAAGACATTTGTCAACACCAGGTCATGGATGAACAAAACAGAGACTGACTCCCTGGGCTCCTCTTGGGCACTTGCATCTCCACCCCAAACCCTATCACCTTGCTTTCTTTCTTGGCAGCAGACTTGATGCCCACAAGGCTCCCAAAGCATTAGCACTCAGGAGCTCCTAAACTAATGCGGGCGAACATTAGAGATGGCACCTCCAGTCATTAAGTCAGGGAGCCAGGCGCAGAGACGCTGGAGTGAGTTGACACTGCATATTTTAGACGATGCTGGTGTGCAGTGAGCCCTGGGTAGCAGAAAGGAAATTCAGGGTGTTTGAGTAACAGGAGGCAGGGTGAGATTTGCTTAACAAAACAATTAGGAGATTGTTCTTTTGAACACATCAGAAAGCTGTTCCATGGCTTATAGCAATGAGCTTCGGAAACAGGGGCTCACCTTGAGAGCGGCAACTTTCCGGGGGCAGAAATCAGACCATGTATGTGACACAAAAGAGCGTAAGTAATGAGAGAATGGAAGATGAAGGCTCTCACTTTCCAACGCACTGGAAAGAATTCATCCCTGTCACCTCAAATAATGGTATGGCCAAGTCCACACACACTGCAGGAGTCCTTCCTGGTTAACCCACTGCAATCTCACAGAGCCTTGCTGTTCTTATCCAGGAAACCTGTGGCTAGCTAGATGTGAATGTGCAGAAAGGAACATGGAGGGAAATGCAACTCTGCCTATGTATACATGCTGCCTGCTCACCCCACCCCTTGCCCTGACCCAAGTCCAGAAACAATACCCTCTCCCTTGCTTTTTGGTAAATTTCATAGGGCACTGGGCTCTCTGCAGAAGTCAATCATTTATGTCAACTTGCAGACACCTGAAATGCTCCTCATTTGCACAATTCTTGACACAGCAGAGGCCTTGGCAGAGAACTCCGAGCGGCAAAGGAAACAAGGATGCCTATATTCCAAACAACCGTAGTCTGGTGGAGGGAGTCAGGCTGCTGCGAGGCTGGCCGAAGGCTCCGAAATGGAGCCAAGTCGGGGAGCAGGTTCCTTCTCTGCTTACCGCAACCTCATTTCAGAGGCTGCTGAAGGATGGTGCATCTGCTCAGGCAGGGAAGATGGGAAATGGGGGTGAGGGAGGGCCAGAGCTGGCCTCTTTCAGAAACGAGAAAAAGAGCTAGACAGAATCCATGTTTCTTCCTCCTCCAACCTAACCCCCGTGGCGATTCCCCTGCCCATGTTATGCCTCAGCCTTCCTCTTCTCCCTGAAGGAGAAGGAGAGGTTTCGATGTATGTCCCAGACAGCAGGACTGTGGCACTGACCACGGCCTCCCCCCACCCAAGAGGGAAGAGAAGTACAGATTAACTCCTCACCCGACTTCTCTATGTTCAAGCTACCAGGTCCTTGGAAGCTAGAGGAAGCTTGGGATGTATTTTACTATCGCTGTAGCTTCCAGCTCTGTTGCTTTTTTCCTTTGGAGGGGGAGGAGATTGGGGAAGCCCTGAAGGAGAGAAGCTAAGCAAACAATGTTCCATCCATGTCTCCTCAATGATGCTTACTCCACGTCTCCCCCAGCTGTGTCTGCTGGCTTGCCCTCAGAAACCTCTGCTTACTCCAAATCCACGAAGCTTCAGGCAAGAATCAAAGTCGCACAGGCCAGCCCTGAGAGACGACTTGTTCTCCTCTCCCCACACATCAGCCCTCAACTCCCCCAGTCAAACCAAAGCCAAATAGTCTCCAATTTGGAAACCAGAAGCCCCATCTCCCCGCACCAGACAGGACTTCTTAGGGATACGTCAGTGTGGAGATGGCGTCTTTGAGAGATGAACATTCATCAATCAAAGGACGGGGCAGTTAGGATTGGGGCGGGGGGGGGGGGCAGGAATCCCACACCAAGCAAGAAATCTATGGGAAGCTGGACGGGATGGATGGATTTCGGAGTGACCCAGCCTAGGCTAACCCAATGCTGGGCTCCTTCCCAATCAGAGATCCCCTAGTCGGAGAGCGAGTTCACATCACCCTTAGTGAAAGGAAGCCATCTGTCACTCCAGCTTGACTGTCTGTCCCCTTTGCCCCAAATCCAGAGGAGAAGGGGAGAGGGAAAGGCAGGTAGGAAGGCTGGTCACTAAGAGACCCATCTCTAAGTGGGGCTGAGTGGGTATCCATGGGCAAGGATCCTCTTTCCCGAAGTAGGCTCCGGGGGCCAGCACTGAACTTAGCAGGAGGTGAGCTTCCCAGCCCCAAATCGTAGCTCCCTTTCGCTAGGAAGGATGCGCCCCTCCTGCCCTAAGAGCCAGGATTAGCCAGCATAAACTGCTCCCCGTTCCGAAGAGGTTTAACACCAGGATCACTGCCATTTTGGGTCCAGTTTCCCGGTCGGGCAGAGAAGGGAAGGAGAAGGAAGGAGCTGTCCTGTGGGGGGTTATTGGGCTCCCCACTGTGCGGCTCCAGCTATTTGGGGCTAGTGGAGATGCTATTTGGGGATCGGGGTGGGGATGCCACAGCGCATCTCCTCCTTTGCCCGGGGCACTGCCCGGGGGCCACGGCTAGGGCACGGACGGAGGATGGGGGACCGTGAGAGGTGGGGGCGGGAGAGGGGAACAGCGGGTACTCACTGCAGTAGGCGATCAGCAGACTCGCCAGGATCATGAAAGCCCAGAAAGTTGAGGACATGCTCGGCAAGGCGTTGGCATCTTTCCGGCGGCTCCTCTTGGGGGATGGCGCCATTGAAGCCGCTTCTCCGGGGCACAAGGGGGTGGGGGGCGCTGCGCGTCTCACCAGCCGGCGCTCCCCGGGGCCGATCCCGATCGCCGGTCTCCACGTGTAACCCCAGAGAGCCACATCCTCACGCCTGGCCTCCCGCGGCAGAGGCGGCTCGGGCGCTGGCACGGGCGGTGGCACCGGCGGCGGCGGCGGCGGCGGCGGCGGCCCCGTCACGTCTGGAGGCGCATCGTCGCCCCCTCCGCGCCCGCCCCGCCCCCAGACTGCTGAGGCGGCTCGCTGGAAGGATCCCCAAGCGTGCCCTCGGACAAGCGGCTCTCCAGTCCCCGGCCCCGCGAGAGGAAAGGGGCGCGGGAGAAGAGGGAGGACGGCCCCGCAGCGGGCTTCCCCGAGCTGTGCGGGGAGGGATGCAGAGGCGGCGGGCCTGGGGGGGGCGGGGGGACCGTAGAGACGCGGCCGCCACTTGGCTATGGAGGGGCAGGAAGAGAAGTTGGCAGCTGCGGAGGCTGCGGAGCCCCGGGGGGCTGGCGGAGCGTCCCTGGCTGTGGCGCGGAGGAGCGGGGCGCGGGAGCCGGGGAGCCGAGAGAGGAGGCGGCGGCGGGGCCGGGCCGAGGGGGCGGGGGCGGGCTCCGGCGCTCCTCCCTCCTCCCTCCTCCCTGGGCCCGCCCCTCGGCGGGAGGGGGAGGGAGGATGCTCGGACCCGGCTCCAGACGGGCTTTTCTTGGGCTGGGGGCGTCGGGGCAGGCCAGAAGCTCCTGCCTCCCCTCCCTTGCTGGAGGAGCGGGGATGGCGATGGGGATGGGGATGGGGATGCCGGGGGAGGAGAAGGAGGAGGAGGGGCGGGGGAGGGAGGAGACCAGGCAGCGGGAGCCGAGCGTCGGCCAAGCCTGTGGATGGCGACAGAGACGGCCGCACGCACCGCAGCCAGAGGCTGGACCCAGGAGCTCGAGTCGCCCAGCCCCCTCCCCCAGGGAACATGCTACCCAGGCGGGGGCGGGGTGCAGGAGCAGGGAGAAGCCCCCAGACGTCTCCCCCCCGCCCCCCCCGCCGCCACCACCATTTCTCCCTCCCCGCCCCGCTTCCCTAGCCACGGGGGGCTAGCCAGTGTGGGTGCGGGTCAGGCGGCGGGGGCTGGGAGGTGGGGAGGGTGGTGTCGAGGGTTCATCCTAAACACGGTTTGGGGGGCCTTCGGCCTTGTTTTCCGCGATCTCTGTCCTTCTCCCGGAGTGATAATAATACCTACATCCCATTCTTCTCCCTCCTACAACTATGTAAAGATCGTAAAGCCCGGCTTCTCATCCCCATTTTACACAGGAGAAAATCGAGGCTTAGGAAAGAGAGCAAGCTTGCTCAGAGTCAGGAAGCTGGCGTTTCAGCAGCAGGGCTGGGTCACTCCGAACTGCTGCAGAGATGGAGGCCTTGTGGCTCCAAGCCCATGGTTCTTACCCTCTCTCTACCCCAACCCCAAAGTCAGCTTTCCGCTCTTCTAGATTTTGTGTGTTCCATGCACGTTTGCTCTTTTAACCTCCTGGGCATCTCAGATCTCATAATCTCCTGCTGCATCCTCACCCCCCCCCACACACACCTGCCCCTTAAGTTCCAGTAGGAGGAGGGGGTAAGAAATGGGGGAGGGAGAAGTGCCATGGAAGTTTCAAGTTTAATGCAATTCGGCTCGAAGGGGTTAAATGCCTCCTGAATGCAAAATCAAGTGTTGGGTAATAATAAGAACAAAAATGATAGCTAATATGCCGGGCCCTGTGCTAAACACTTTACAGTTATTATCTCATTTGAGCTTCACAGCAACCTTTGGAGGTAGGTGCTGTTATTATCCCCATTTTACAGATGAGGAAATTGAGGCAAATAGAGGTTAAGTGACTGGCCCAGGGTCACGTAGTGTCTGATTTTGGATTTCAACTCAGGCCTTCCTGACTTCACGCCTGGTGCTCTATCCACAGTGCCACCTAGGATAACATACAAGGCGAGATGAAACCCAGGGCCTGGCCTAGAGCCCTTATCGTGGTGATGATAGACAAAAGATGAGAGAATGATCAATGAATCAATCAAACCAGGAGCATTTATGTGGCAGGCACCAGTGTCGAACCCTGAGGACCCAAATGTAAAAGCAGGTATAGGCCACACCCCAAAGAAGCTCCGATCTGACAGAGAGGGGTACACGGTGCTGTGCGACTTAGGGCTGGGGTGAGGCTAGTGTTCTTACCGACATGCAGGAACAGGGGGTGGCATTTGAGCTTTGGCCAGAAATTTACTAGCAGGGAAGGGAAGAGTGCAATGTGGTGAAAAGAGGGATGAATATGGAGTTGGAGGAGCTGCCTGGATATCTCATTGTCTGTGAGGCTTTGGACAAACCATTTTCCCATTCAGGGCCTTGGGTGGTCATGTATCAAAGGAAGGGGCCAGACTAAAGGACCTCTCTAATTTTAGACAGTCTAGAGGCATTGAATTAGATGAAAAAAAGGCTGAAGAACGTGACCAAGAGACACCATAACAATTTGACAGTGGAGCGCATGGAAACCCTGATAGAGCGTGACTATAGACCTCAGAATGGGAAGCAACCTCAGAGGGAATCTCATCCAACCTCTTCTGCAGCAGGAATCTCTCTTCTGCCAATCCATGGGTCTTTGCATCCGCGTCTCCAGTGAGTGACATGGAGCGTGGTACAATGGCAGCTAGGTGGCACCATGGGTACCATGGAGTCAGGGACACTTGAGTTCAAATTCAGCCTTAGACATATCTAGACAGTGAACTAGTCACTTTGCTTCTGTTCGTCTCAGTTCCTTCATCTGTAAAATGAGGATGATGATACCTACCTGCTAAGATTGTTGTCAGGATCTCATGAAACGATATTTGTAAAGGGCTTAGTATAATGCCTGGCACATAGTAGGTGCTTAAGAAATGATAGCTGTGGGGTAGCTAGATGGCGTAGTGGATAGAGCACCCCTGGATTCAGGAGGACCTGAGTTCAAATTTGACCTCAGACACTTAGTAGCTATGTGACCCTGGGCAAGTCACTTAACCCCAATTGCCTTTAAAAAAAGAAAAGAAAAGAAAAGAAATGATAGTTGTTACTTTCTGATGCAACTTGTCCCAATTAGGGACTGTTCTGATGGTTACAAAGTTATTCCCTGCATGTAGAGAAAATTTAATTCCTTTATAACTTGCACTGATTTGGGTTCCAATTCTTCCCTCTGGACACCACACACAGCCCTCCCTCTCTTAAATCCAATTCACTTGCCAGTCACGGCATCACTTTCCTGCTGTGGGTCGTCTTTGAAAACAAAGAGCAAACAGCAACAGCATTATCTTTAAGGAAGGCCCTGAATTCTTGACCTTCCGCTTCAGATATTTACTGTGTAAACTTGGTCAAGTGCCTTTATCTCGCTAAGCTTCAATGTCCTCAACTTTAAAACGGGGATAACAATAGCATCTGTCTCACAGAGGTACTCTTGAAGATCAAAAGAGATACGACGTGTAAAATGCTTTGCAAGCCTCGAAGCTTTATTTAACGTGAGACTTCACCATTATTCCAGATTCCTTAGAGGCCTCCTTTGAATCAGTGTCCTGGGACGGTAGACTGCTTCTAAATCTACCGCCTTCCTCCCCTTCCTTCCCTTCCCTTCCCCTAATCCTCTTAGCTTCCCATGACACCTGACTTCCATGAGCGCTTCATAAACCCTACAGTATAATAAAATCAATTAATCAATTGTTGTGTCCACACGCCCACTTTCTCATCTCTGTAAGATCTCAGTGAGGATAGTCTACACATTTAAAGAGAGACTCTGATGAATGCATGGGAAATAACCAGGCTTTTGAAGAAGATTTGCTAGAGCCTAGCACACCTCCACAGCCACATGATTAACTGAGAGATATGCAACATCCTGGTGTGTAAAAGAAAATAAAACTTTTGACTTGGAGGGACAAGATTCAGTCCTTAAAGTCCTTGCTTCGGGAAGATGTCTCCCATGTCTATTTTAAAACCATGCACAATTCTGTAGAAGATGCGAGGAGGTTATCAGCTCCTTGGCCGCAGAGGGCATTTTATTTTTGTCTTTGCACCCTTAATACCTCATAGAGGGCTTAGCACATTGGTTTTTTGTTTTGTTTTGTTTTGTTTTGTTTTACGCTAAATATGTGATTTCATTGGAAGGAAGGAAACCAGTACAATCTTGGGAGGTGGGTACTGTTATTATCCCTACTTTACAGTTGAAGAAACTGAGGGAGACAGAGGTGAAGTGACTTGCCCAGGGCCACATACACAGTAGGTGTCTGAGGCTAGATTGAAACTCAGGTCTTCTTCACGCCAGACCCAGTGTTCTAGCCAGTGCACTGCCATCTAGTGGCCTCGTTAGGATAGACAACTCCAAGTAGATTGGCACCTACTCGGCACTACATGACCTCTGACAGGGTCTCAGAGAGAGGAGTTAAAGTGTTTAGCCTGCTCCCCTAGGTGGCCTGCATCTGTCACTGTCTCTGTCCGATGCCTGCCAGGCTGCAGGTCCACCCTCTTACCCCACCTGATATTACGATTGGGTGATCATTGCATTATATTTGAGGATGAAACCGTCAATACCAACCAAAAGGCTGGCCCTTATGTTCTCATCTGGCCCCTCCCTCACTGGAATTTCATTTGTTTGGCTCATTATGGGATGTTTTGCCTTCTGGTCACCCTGTCAAAGGGCAAATAGTACTGGAAGCAATAACCTTCCTAAAATGAGTTAGCTCACGTCTTAGAAGTATACATTTCCAGTCAAGATGGTAACAGTACTTACTAATTTCCAGAGTTGTGAGGATAAAGTATTTGTAACATGTTGAACACTGTGCCTGGCACATAGTATGTGTTGAATAAATGCCTGTTTCTTCCTTCCCCCCTTTCCTTCCTTCCTTCTTTTCTTTCTTTCTTTCTTCCTTCTGTGTGAATGTAAGTCATAGGAACATAGATTTACAACTGGAAGGGAGCCTAGAAGTTATTAAATACAAACCCCTCATTT